TATGTGTGTGTGTGTGTGTGTGTGTGTGTGTGTGTGTGTGTGCCCGCGTGTGTGAGTGGACGAAGGCGTTTATGTGTTGAATATAGAAAGAGAAGAGAAACAGTGTAAGAAGGAGAGTAAACTTAGATGTACATGTACTGTAAAACTACGATAAGCCACTGTTCACTTCCACTTTTTAAAACGTCTTTATGAGACTGTTCTATGTATGTGAGATGATAGCGACAATCTTTATTGAAAATACACCCTATTATCGTTGCGTCTGTGTTCTTCATTGATTGTTGTTTTTTGTCATTTTGTCAGCGTAGTACCCAATTAAACAAAGAAAATTATGTCATAAAATGGCTGCCTACCTAACTAACTACCTACATACACACTTAGCTACCTACATACCTACCTACCTACCCACCTACTTGGCACTTGCAACAGAGTCAAGTCATATTGTTAGTGCCTAAGATCAGAGGCGTTACTAGAAAGTGACATACAAAGAACAGGAGAGATAGTGGCAAAAGATGCTTTGCAGGACAGAAGGACGGCGGCACAAAGGAGGACATGATAAACAGACTCGGTGAGGCAAGATCTGTACACAGAAGCGTGATCAACATCTGGAAGTCAGGACAGTTCAGCATACAAACCAAGTTAAAGCTGAATAACAGCTGCGTACTATCCACACTCCTATATGAATCTGAATGCTGAAGGATGACTGATCATGATCGTGCCGAGCTATCTTTTTTTCATACATATTACAACCAGCTTACGCCAAATCCCCCGAATCATCTGGCTCGACAAGATTTCCAAAGCAGATCTTTTACGGAAATGTAGGCAAGAGGACATGACCACCACAATAAGAAGGAGAAGATGGAGATGGATTGGGCATGTTCTAAGAAGAGAACCAAGCTCTATTGTAAAGACTGCCCTCCACTGGACACCCGAAGGACATTGCAAGAGGGGCAGACCCAGAGTGACCTAGAGACGCATAGTAGAGTCTGAAATGAAGTCCTGAAACCATTCGTGGGGGACGTTGACCAAGATGGCCCAAAACAGACAGAGCTGGAGATCCGTTGTTGCTGCCCTAAACGCCAGATGGCGTGACGAGTAGTAAGTAAGTAGGACAGGAGGAGCAAAACACACTAGAGCGCCCGCCAACCGATCATTTAGGAGGCTGGCTTCAACTCTGACGTGTCACGCGCCGGCAACCAGCAAAATATCTTGTGGTGCCGAAACAGGTTACTGGGCTGGTTGTTTTGTTGGGGTTTTTTTTAGGGGGGGTGGTCTGTTTTGTCTGTTTGCCTACAATGATCATCACAGATGGTTATACAATGTCCGTAGCTGCTCTTCTGTAATCTTTTTAAAAAGTACAACATGCCTATGCAGTATACAGTTTTTACCATTTTACAAGAGAACCAAAATAACTGAATATTGTTTCCAAGAAAACAAAGTCTTTGCAAACACCACCAGTCAACATTTTCAGAAGTATAATTTTGAAAATAATTTCTTTATGATCTTTAAAAACAAAAGTTATTTTCTTAATAACAGCTTTCGGGGATATATTCTGGGCTATCATAAAAGCTTCATGTTATACTGTACTTTAAAAAAATGACAACATTGCCA